CTAGGAAAACCTTCAGGAATGGCTTCCCATGTGCAGCTTCCACGAATGCAAACATGTCTCCAATGATTCCCGTTTCAACAAACCACATCATGTTTTCAACTCCACTTAGATATCGCGTTCCAAAGGAGTCTAGGGAGCGGCCAAGTATCCTTGCGGCGCTGCGCATATGTTCAACCTGTTGAGGATGGGTCGCGTGTCGAGACTTCCACACGATCGGATGAAGTAGGTGCTGGCTGAAAAGGGGACGCATTTCAAAGGGCTGTGTTACGATAGCCTCCGAGTCGATCCACAAAGCGGCATCATAGCGCAGCTCTCTGGCTGCCAGTAGCTTCTTGAGACCTTGATATTTGAACTTGCCGTAATGCTCGAGCAAGTGGTTGGTGTTGTCGGGCTCCACCTTTTTCTGTAGAAATGAGGGAAGAAGATCATAGAGATTCATAAGATGGATTTGAGGGTTCCAGGTTTGGTTGGCGGGCATAGGATAAATGCCGTAGTGGTCGCCGCATGGTTTCATACTTTGAACTAAGTTGCCAAATTGAGAGACTTCTGTGGTGCTTGAGAGGACAAAGGCTATCTCGATGTCGTTGATGTCGGTGCAGAGACAGCGCAGGGATTGAAGGAAGGCGATTGCTTCACGAAAGTGGCCCACCTGCCCAATTTTTAGTCTTTCGGTTTCCAAGGCAGATGACATCGGCAACGTTAGGGAAGGAAGACGCACAAAAGTGGGTACTATGATTGTGTAGTTTAGGCCTGAGAAATCCCACTTGGCAAGTTCACTTTCAATGTGAGATTCCTCGGTGCCAAATGCCACCAAACGATCCTCATAGTAGCTGGGAGGCTTCGGTTGAGGAGGATATGAAGATACGGCATGACTGTCTCTGCCCGTAGATTTTCTGAGAAATTCTGGATATGAAGATGGTAGAGGATAAGGAACCCTCGTTGTAAAGTATTGTGCCTTGCTGTGCGATGTTGATTCCAATTCCCATGACTGGACGTTGGTTGGTAGATAATAGTGAAGGCACAAGATTAGAAATGCGATTGTGCTGGCTATGACGAGAGGTTGAGATCTCGCAGCAGCAGCAGCGGATAACATCTTTGATCAATCAATTCATCGTGAGAAAGATCAAATGGGTTGAGGAGGGCACCTCGAAAGGTGTCTTTCGCGTAGGATGACATGGCGCAGCGCATTGTGCCTGATGGCACAGACGAATAACGGACCTCAGCTCCAGGAGCACAGTAGCACTTCGCGGTAACTTTCGGCCTATCATTAACACGAGAGACCCATCATCACAGGCCACGGCAGAAGAAACACTTGCGGATTTCGGAGACATTTGTAGCTTTGCTCCTCATGTAAATATTAAATTTCCGCACCACTAGAATAGGAGATAAGTAGTAAATATCAAAGAACGAAAGAGAAACGAGACGGCATTCGAAGAGCAACACTCTATGCAATTTGTTGTATGACATAAGAGAATAGTGCAATAATAGACTGGTTCATTGTGCAATGCTCTAGGTGTAGTTGTAGACTCGACAATGACGGCGGTCGGACATTGATGGGCTTGACAAGAGTACGAGCTGACGACTAGTGGCCAGGAACGAGCTAAGTGCGTGGCACGATTAGTTCTCACGGTGTCCCCCAACGAGTTGTCATCTTACTCTCCCTCCAAAAACAAAGAATCTACTCGTAGGGATGCTCTCTTACATTAATGGCTTTGCCAACACTTCACATCAGAGGTGCAGCTAATTATCGAACCTGATGCGAAAGTTGAAATTGGCGGGTCGGCGCGCGTCAAACTCCGAGTCCTGAAACTGAATGCTAGCTTCAGGTTAAACCATGCATGGAAGGTGCCCAAAATCTCGAATGGGACTAGTGGATTTCCTAAAGTTTTGCGTAATTCAACAGTTGCGGTGTGCCCAAAACCTCAAATGGGACTAGTGGATTTCCTAAAGTTTTGCGTAATTCAACGGTTGCGGTGTGCCCAGAACCTCAAATGGGACTAGTGGATTTCCTAAAGTTTTGCGTAATTCAACGGTTGCGGTGTGCCCAAAACCTCGAATGGGACTGGTGGATTTCCTAAAGTTTTGCGTAATTCAACGGTCGCGGTGTGCCCAAAACCTCGAATCGGACTAGTGGGTTTCCTAAAGTTTTGCGTAATTCAACGGTCGCGGTGTGCCCAAAACCTCAAATGGGACTAGTGGAATTTTCTAAAGATTTCCTGCAAAGATGTATATTTATCATCTAGCAGTCACGGTTTCTATCGGCGATGATATCTCAACGCATTCATGTCTCCTAGAGCCGAGGACGCAGCTAGAACTTGCTTGCTTATTCCTTCAGACTTATTATCGATTGGGTACCTTATCCTCACCAATAGAGCAATCGCAGGCGAGAGCACGGTCCGCGGAGCAATCAGACAAGGAATGATCAAACGTGCCAAGCAACAGGCTAGGGGTCCTCGAAGGAACGTGGCTACACGCCGACGTACTGCATTATCGAGCAAACTTTCTCCCACAATCCCCGCGCTTGAGAGCGGAATTATGCCGATCATGCTCTTTAGACGCAGTCTTTGCATCAGTACTTTATAACAAGTGAAGGCAGCGGAGATTTTGGCCAAAGGCAGGCGTCTTGGAGCAATGGAGATCGGCCAACGTGGTAAAGCTCTCTGGCGGAAAAGCCCACTCAGGACCTTTCCAGATTTAGGATTCTAGGGCGGGTCCCCTTTGCTTGGCAAACTTATCGGCTAGAACGGCCGCATTCATAAATACCCCACCATCTCCCCACCTCTTTTGTTCAAACAGCTCTACCTTACATTATTGAAAGCTATTCACACATCTCTCCATCGCCACACCAGCACTACTTCAACACCTTCATCCTGCGCACGCACCAATCTGCGACCCATTACCAATAACCATATCAAACCCTCAAAGTCCTCGGCCATCAAAAATGGGTACGCTCAACCACCCCCACCCTTTTATCCCGCCGGTGTCTTTTCCCCACGGTCTCCCAGCTGAGTTCTCGTTCGCGAATAGGTCCAGGTTGTTCATGCAGCTGCGGCACCTCGTGTGCCTGCCCTTCTGGTCAATGCACCTGCAAATGAAATAAGGTGCGTGTTGCACGGTCCGAGCGCATGGTCATGGGGGGTGCTGACGGTGGGCGTGTGGGATGTAGGAATGGGAAGATCGAGATGAGGCATGGGTGGGATGTGGATGTGGATATGGAGACGTAGCGAGACTGGACGAGAGAAACATGTTGGGGGAGTTATGGGATGTAATATCATGGGCACGGACGCGCGTGTAGAGGATTGAGACACACATAGAGAGGTCTGCACCGAAAGTCCTGCACCCGCCAAGACTCTTGCGCTCAGACTTCGGATAACGCCCCACCTAAAGGGTTACCTGGACAATACGCCTGGAGTTCTTCGGAATCGCACCTAGCCCTAGTCAGGTTTCGGGGCTTAATGCCCCTATCAAGCCAAGAGAAGTACCTAAAGTCCCATCCATGCGCTGTGAGAAGATATTTCTAGGCTTCCCCTCTACAGGGCCGCTTTCCGAAAGTAGGGTTAGGGCTGCACTAGTGCGGGTGCAGGACTTTCGGTGCAGACCTCTGTAGATAGTGGGAGACGGTCACATTCATTAGCGGCTAGGAAGACAAAGGCGTGATTCCACACGCCCCTGCCCATCCTGCAGTACGCCATCACATGCTTCACTGTGCCTTGCCCCTAGTGCGACCTCGGACGATTCGTAGGGTCCCAATGTGCTGGTTCCGCATATGCACCCCTATTGGATAATGTATGCGTTCAGTGGTCTCATATGCATGTAGAATAGTTATTCTATTGTCATGTTCTATACAGTATGTAAGAAGGATGGAGGTGGACTACCTATGTATGGTGTGAAGCCCACGCTAAGGCTATTTGCCACTTGTGTCATTGCCACCATGAGGAGTAGTAACAACACCTATTTGGAACTTAGTAGTGTAGCCATGCTGGCCTCCTATTGGCTGATTCCAACAACCCCACCCTCCTGAACCAATGCCCCCCAGACCGAAATACTCCATCAGGCAGGTACCGCTTCGTCGGAGACAAACCGCGCAGGAAAAGGTCCGAATGTTGCTACCTCTGGTCCCTACCATTGGCCAATAACCAGCGATCACGTCCGCGGTGGGAGATGGATCCCGGCGATCGCAGGGTGCGCGACTTGTGCTTGGAGGGGATCGTGCGTAAACTGGAATGACGGCCCAAATACCACTCCTATAAGACATATCCGGTCCCCCGAAATCACTCTCCTTTCTTTCTTTCTTTCCCTCACCACCTCCCACAGAATCACCATCCACCAACCCACACGCACACACAATAGCAAACACCATCCACCCCAACCCACATTACCGACCCCTTACCTACCAAAATGGCACCCTGTCCTTGCGCCAGCTGCGCCACCTGCAAAGGTGACTGCACGAGCTGTGGATGCAGCAGCTGCGGCGTAAGTGTCTGCTCAACATCTGCTGCAAGAGCGACGCTGACCTGACGCAGCACTAAGCCCAGTGCCGAGACGTCGAGGTGGAGGATGCGGGGATGGACAGAGAGGATGGGACATGGGGGATAGGATGCGGGCTTGGGTTGGCGTCTGCAAGGTTGAGAGCGGTGCGCAGCTGTTGGGGACACGTATGGCTGGGAAGTGTTGGTGGAGTCGTACTGTCGCTACTTTCTAGTCTGTGGAATGCCGTGTCACACGCTTGATCTATGTGATGCCTTCGCGCCCTTCGAAGGCTAGTGATCCTTGTAGTGATGCTTCCCGTCCTTTCAAGCTCTCGGATTATCAGCCCATAAGCCCATAAGCCCAATCAGGAGTTCGAGCTCACTTGCCTAGCGTGCTCATTGGTCTGTCCGCTTCCATGATAACTCCCCAGCCATTACACGCATCAAGATCCTTATTTATGCCTTCTTTCAGGCTTTGATGACCCCACAAGCTAGCTGTGGCATTGTCTGTTTGCTCATCCAACGAACCTATCACGCCTGCTGCGGCTCCTCCCGTCTATATCCAGGAGGCGCGTCGGTGTGGCATGTCCAGCACGAGGTGAGCGGACAAAAGAGGCATTGCCAGACGTACGTGTGGCCAACGTACCTGCAAAGCTTGCAGTGCCCTGGCTCATCTTTTATCATTCGAATGAGCTGCCAATAGCCATTGTCGCATCCGTTCTCCACCTCATCGCGCACTTCTTGAAATTGCTCTTCCCGTGAACGTGGATCTGGCCTCCCCCAGGTCTGCCTCAGGTGTTTGGCATACCGCTCGACTGCCCGTTCAGCTCTGAAAACAGTGCGACGGCGATATCCTGGTAAGTAGCCAACCGCCACCCTATCAGCCAACCCATCAGCGTCGTCGCGGAACTCCTCGTGGTAGTCATCGTGGAATTGTGGACAATTGCAATTCTTCCAGACCTTGTCGCCCACGTAGCAAAATTCAGCTTTGCGTACGCACCTGAGACGTTCAATTTCGTATGGCAAATACAAAACGAGAGCTGTACTCACGTCATATGATTGCAACCAAAGTTTAGATCGATCATGTTATTGTTCCGCGTGTTTTTCTTCATAGCGTTTGACCAAATCATGATGGAGATGGGTCCGCGACGACTGAAGTGTGATAGAAAGGCTGCAGCACAGTGATGGAAAATTTCCATCGGGCTCGGAAGCGCTCTTCACGTACGAAGCTAGACAGTCGTCGCAATAGCTGTGTTTGCATGGCGCAGTGAAGGACACAGCATTATGTTCATCGCACGAGGTGCACGTAAGTCTCTGCTGGAGTGTGAACTCAGTCCGCAGGAGGGTTTCACGGCTGATGTCAGCGTCGGTTGGCTCGATCTGAGCATTGATTAGAAATGCAAGATTATTGTGAGCTGTGATTGCGTCGTCCACGATGATATCACTCAAGAATTGAAGATAGCCGGATAGACAACTAAGCAGCGGCTGGACGACAGAAGAGAGAAACTATCGTTGAGGTAGAGCAAGGATGAAGTCGTGAGTTGTAGAAGATTAAGGAAGCTATTAAGCAAACCAGGAATTTGTCTGTACATATGATATGTGGCCCCTGAAGTTGACAGTAGAGTAGGCCCAAAGCCTCGCAGTGAACCTTGTTGTGTGGCCTGGATTCGCAGCCGAGTGAATACATTTTGTGATGTAGAAAGATAAGTCTTGGTCGATAATTAGAATTAAGGAGGAGGTTTGGTGATGCATTTCGTAGCACCTACCTGTATCGTGACAGAGATGTCAGATTGAGTGGGGAAAAGATGTTTCAGTTTGAGGAAGAGGCTCTCGTGAGGAAAACCTCACTTCGTTGCACAAGCTCGTCGTTTTGGGCTATATGAAGTTGGATATCGCAGTACACGATGGAAATGGGGTATATCAGCGATAACTGGGCGTATGTTCTCGATAGAGGCCGGTGTATGTACATGTGCGAGAAAGATGGCGACGAGAATTACGTGGTAGTTTCGTAAGTACAGCCATATTCACTCCAAGCCCATCTTTGCATCGTCTACGATGCCCCAATATCCATCCCGTTCTTGATGTAACGGTAGCTGCTGAGTCTCACGCTCATCACCTCGTAAAGTGGTCGATCCTGAGGAGTCGCCGCTGCTATGTGCGCTTGTTCGGCTATTCTTCCTGAAGAAACCACGTCTTCTAGCTTGGCTGCTACTTGCATCGCTGTCTTTCGTAATTTGCGAATAGTCAGGCGAGGCTTCCAGGGCAGCAGAGCCAGAAGCAGGTGGAACCAAGGTATCCGTGGATCCATCGAGTCTAGTACCTCCGCTTGTCTCTACCAGCTCAGCATCTCGATACCACTTCCGACGTCGGGTATATCTTCCCCAGCCGTCTTGGCCACGACGGCCATCATTCCACTATCTTCATTAGCATGTTATCTGCCATGTGCCTTTACTTTGACTGACCTTGTTGTCATAGTAAATCCACCCGTCGACACCAGTAGTTGCTCTGTTCTTCCCACCGCCTTCGACTTGCCACTCACTGCCTGGAACCCAATGCCATTTCGCAGTGCCATTGTCGATGTGTGGAAGCAGAAAGCTATCTTTGGGATCTGACGGATTGAGATGCTCATCCGTCCAAGCAGTCCTCTCATAAGCCAACAGTGAATATGTCCATCCAAGACCCAACCAACGCCGTTGGTTTTCGAAGACCACAAAAGTGAAACGGACACCATGAGCAGCGAGAGAATTAGCAACGTCATGTTGACTCTTATGCCTCGGTGGTAGTGGAGGAGGGGCCCCTTTGCGGGGTGTGACTGGTACTTGAGGCTGATTACCAAAAGTCAAGCCTGTAGTTACAGAGACGACACGACGCATGAAATGTGAGCGCCAGAGAAGTGTGCGAGTAACCCGAGCAGGCCTCGAGTGCCAGCTGAGCATGACTGTACCGACGACAAGGATCACTCGGCGGGTAGTGAGAATGTAAAGCGGTGGTAGGGTTAGACCAATCCACAGAGGTGAGATGAAAAGAATGCGTATGAAAAGGGTAGTAAGAGCAGGTCTTGTGGTGGCTGATGTTGCCGTGCGTTGTGTCGAGAGGAAGTCTGTAAGCTGCATGAACGGTTCAAGCAATATATTACACCTTGAAGTAAATACTGTCAGAGTCTCTACGATCTCATCAAGACTCTTTTGATGTTTCATGTTGCCCTCCGACTTCTCTTTGGGATCTTTGCGCTTCTCCCCAGTCCACCCACTCGAAGACAGAGGAGAATATCTCCTCGAGTACATTCCCAAGATGACAAATACCACGACCATCAGGGGCCCTGCGTATCTTATGATTATATCCCCATAGGTTGTAATGACCCAGAAGCCTGCAATAACGAGAAAGCTTTCCCACGGGTCTCCACTCGTCCATGTAATTAGGCCCACGATCTGATTCAGAGGCAGCAGGAATGGGTGAGAGAAGGCAAGGGCTCGAGTGATGGTCGGCGGTGTCGCTATGAGCAAGGGCGACTTTCGGTGTACCACAATAGTAGACCGCTGTCTGGTGGCTGGGGAGGAAATTCCCGATGTTGGAGAGAAGGCAGCTGTGGTAGGAGGATTGAGGTCGTCCTTGGATTTTCCTGATCCAGTCTCCGACCCTCGTGCTGGTGATGAATTCATCTCCGCTATCCAAGGAGTTTCTGATTCATTTCAGTCAAGGCGTAACGAAAAAGAAGGTGAGAGTTCACGCAGATGCCCGAACCAACATACCAAACGCAGCCATGCAAACCCATACAGCTTAGGGATATTGGATCTGGAAGATGTGTTATCATATTGCAGGATCCTCTAGCGCTCCTTCCCTCGAAAGTATATACGTAAATCCAACCACGTAAAGTGTGATGAGAAACAATGGTTCATGAGAAACCAAGCCATGCCAATCGTCATGTGCTAGTGTGCCAAGCAATTATGGTATTCGCAGGGGGTCAGATGGGGTCCTCTAAAAACTGTTACTGCCTCTATTCGCCGCTTATTGCCCGTCTCCTCAACATGAATGTCATAATATCTAACGACTTTACTGTGTGCTAATTGCAAAGGGGTTGAGTTGCGACTCATGGTTTGTTATGCCGGCGAGGGTACTCTCTCCAGCACGAAGCGATGCTGATGATCACAAGGCGCACCGCATCATCACCCAAATTATCTTCACAGGCACCAGAGTCCTAGGTCGCGCTTTCGCCGAAGCCTACAGACAAGCCGCAGCATCCTCCCAACATTCTCGGGCAGCAGGTGCCAATACCAGTGGTCCCGGTACTGCCAACAGTTTCGCCTCCTCCGGTCTCACCCTCGATGAAGCATGCAAGATTCTCAACGTCAAGCCACTACAAGGCGGGAAAACGGATATGAACAATGTGATGGAGAGATTCAGGACTATGTTTGATAGGAATGAGCCGACTAAGGGGGGAAGTTTCTATCTCCAAAGCAAGATATTGCGAGCGCGGGAAAGGATAGAGCTGGAGGTTAGGGAAGCGACAGAGGCTGTGGAGAGGGAGGCGGAGCTGAGAGAGGGATGGAAGCCCAAGGTATGGAAGGACCGATGACATCGACTCTCTCTGGGCAAGATGCAAATGTTAAAGATGGGATACTAGTGAAGCGAGTATCTGCTCATCAATCCCTACGTACGGGTCGCTGAGGGCAGTCCTCGGGATCAAGCCGGCTTTGATTCGGCGGCAATGCGTGTGGTCATGCATAGCCAGGTGTTTGTGGCATTTCTACTCTACTGGGGCACTCAACGGCTGCTTTTGGCGTTGTGAATTGCGGTTTCAGGGCCTTGCTCCGGGTCATCTTCTTTCTCATCATGGCTTGTGACAGCTATGTCCCCACCATGTCGAATTTGAGATCCATACTCAAAACCAACCACTCCTCACCGGAGGGTCTCTTGACATTTAAAAGGCAGGCAGGTGGTCTGGCTCAGATCGTGTCACCAATGCACGCAAATGATCAAGAATGAAACAATGAATCCTCATCGAGACTGGTCTTTCTAATTTCTTCTTTTTTTTTTCCTTTTTGGTTTTTCCTTTTCATTTTCAAGAATATAAGCTCAAGCTGACGCTCTTGTCCTCGACGCTGAGATCTCCATGCTCCAGGTCACGCTATCATTTACTTTACCTGACTCACGAACCCAGCTAAGCCTCGCCTGGAAACGCCCCTTGATTGAAGGACCCCTCGGACATGTTGCTCTCAGCCTCGTGGTGATGGAATGGCGCAATAGATATCATGCCGTCTCTCACACTGTGAGCAGCAAGCATAGCCAGTCAACCCGGCACGACTTCTCTCGTTTCTTGACCGCTACCCGGGCTGAGCAACGAGTAAGCGATGGTTAAGACGCATGAAACGCGACGGTCAAGATAGAGATTTGACGATCATTCCCTTTCAGAATCATATCGAACCTTCGATCCGCTGCAGGGACCGTAGCGTGCGTATGTAAGATAGTAGCAGTGATAGGGTTTTGATGGCGCTAGCGAGTCCTTTATCGCCATCGCGGTTAGTCCAGCTAGGTAAGGTTGACTCCCGCAAACATCCTGAACCTCTCAACAGTCAAGCATCCCCCTTTGTCTATTCAACGCCTCAGCCCGTACAGTCTGTCCGACACGCTGAGCTTTGCCTTTGCGAAAGTCAGATAAGCGGACTGAGCATTACTAATAGCAAGTCTAAGCGTCATAGACCAAGTATGGCGCGATCCGCCCGAAGACCCCTCGGACCCTGGCCATTAGGCCTCGGATTTTCATTTCACGTCGATTCATTTCGTCGCGCTGCCACCCGCGAGAAGTGAATTGCAATCAGTGTCGAGTCAGAGCTTCTCTGAACCCCGGCTGGGCTACAAAAAGCACCCACTCATCTCCTTGCTTCCATCCTTCTTCTACTCATTAACTCGTGCCAGTTCTACCTCTTCCCTACTCTCGCAGCTTTAAGCATTCCTTCTCTATAAATCCAGGCACTAGCCCAATCATGCCTCAAACTTCGCCTCCCCTGTCGACCCTACTTCCACCACTCATCTGTGGAACAGCTACCTTCAATGATCAATACAATCCAGACCCTTATGCACTGCCAACCACAGGCATAGTCCACCGCGCCCTCTCCTTGGGAGTCCGCGCCTT